TCCTTTACTCCTATATGCCTCCACTCTCTACTTCTCCTCTACTCATCCTCTACTCCTTTACAAACCCTCTCCACCTCTTCTCCTCTTCTACCTTACTCCTTCACTCCTGCACTCATCTACTCCTCCTATCCTTTACTCCTCTACTCCTCCACTCTCTACTTCTCCTCTACTTCTATACACCTCCACCCCTTTACTCCTCTACTCCTCCTCTCCTCCTCCTCCTCTACTCCACTCTTCCTCTCCTCCTCCTCTCTTCCTCCACTCCTCTGCTGCACCTCTCCTCGTCCTCCACTCCTCTACAACTCTTCTCCTTCTCCTCTACTCATCTACTTTACTCCTTTACTCCTCCACTCCTGTACTTCACTCCTCTCCTTCTCCTCTACTCCTCCACTCTTCTCCTCTCCTCCTCCTCCTCCTCCTCCTCTATTCCTCTACTTTACTCCTTTTTCCTCCTTTACTCCTCCACTCCTCTTCTCTCTCCTCTCCGTTGTGTTCCATTAACACACTCAAGTTGAATAATAAGCAACGCGTCCAAACCGCGCACCCTTCATCCGCACAGCTGTAATTAACAGGGCAAAAAAAAAAAGCATAGGCGGTGAGAGAAAAAAAAATGCAAATGATTCCGCACAAAAGGCTTCTCACAAATTGGCGTCACCATTTCTCAAATTATATCATTACTATATTTTGAAAATGTTAATCTGTTGAGCGGATTTCCCGCGGGAGTTGAGTAAATTAGTTCTATTTCGGAGGCGCGCGGCGGAGACGAGCACCTCCGATTTGCTGATTACAATTCGCCTCCCCAGTTTGCGCTCCTTCAAGCATTGATAATTTTCGGCATATTAAGCACGTTTTAGCAAAAGGTGATAAGTCAGTTTTAATTGAAATGAAATTATTATTCTAATGGAAGTTTGGTTATTATTATTAGGAGGCAGCACTCATTTTAGATTCCCCCTTTTTTTAATACATAAACGCGGTGAGTAAAAAAAAGACAGATTTTGAAGGGCATTAGGGTGTCAGGATTGAATGAGGTAATTTGAAGGGAATTACTTTCCCTTCTATCAGAACTGAAGTGAATTAAAAGTCCAAATCAATCGCCTTCACTTCTCCATTCTACTTTGACAGCGGCACAATTACAGATAATTAGATGGAGGAAACTTTTAATTGTGGGGATTAAGAAGGGGGAGAGAAATTTTTCAGGATCAGAGAAGAGGAAGGAAGGAAGGAAGGAAGGAAGGGAGGGGGGGGGGCAAAAAAAAATTGGGAGAGTTTCTCGCCTGCTCGAAATCGAATCAAAGGATTTTTTGGTGGCTTCAGACTGCAGCTCTTTAATTGGCGGCGCATCTCGTACATCGTTCGCAACAATTAATTTGGATTTAATTCTATAATTATCATCAAATCGAATAACGTGCAACTTAATTTAGATGGTTAAAAATTAACGTGCGTGAAGTTAATTGAGTAATTAAACTCCTCAACTGCCGCCTATTAATTTGCTAGCCTAATTAAAAATGAATTTGATTTTTTTTTGTATGTGTGTGTGTGTGTGTGTGTGTGTGTGTGCGCGCGCGCGCGTGTGTGTGTAAATGTCGGTAATGTGGGCATCAGTGTTGCATGGGCGCTTTTGATTAGTTTGTTTGCTTGGGTGGGACATCTGAGCACCTGCTGTTAATGGGGTCAGGGATGTCCGCTTGCCTGAGCAATGCTCGTTGGGAGGTTTGGAGATGAGAGGGGGGTCCATGCAGGGTGGGCGAGCATCAGCTTTAGAGCTAGGTAGCACCAATGTCGTATAATGTGGCTGAGAAGAAGATGAGCACTGGTGCGATTTTGGAGGAGGGGTGTTTAGCCCTGCCCATCATCTCCTGGGAGCAAGTTTAATAAAGTTGGGGACTTTGTATCGGACGTTATTGGCTGTAGAGGCCCGAAAAAGGCCTAGATATCTTAAAAAGAGATAAATGATTGAGAAACAGTCTCCGTTTCATTTGAGTTTGGTCAGTTTAAAAAGTGGAGCTTGTGGGTTTCCAAATGTAAAGGTGCCAAAAGGGTGTCTTTGGAGTAATATCATAGAAGTACCACCTTTGGTTTCCCCTTTAAAAGGTTTCTTTTAAAGTTTAAAGAACGTCCACTTGATATAAGTTATAGACTAATAATTTTGTCTTCATGCAACAAACTGCAAGCCGAGAAGCTTTGAGGAAGCTTTATTTTAAGAGTGTTCACTCTTAAGGGGGTTCTTTGAGTGATGCCATAGAACTTTTTTGCCCCTAAAAAGTCCTTTTAAGGGTTCTTCCAGGAACCCTTACATTATGTTGATGTTCTGAAAACGTTAAACAGGTTTACATAAAAGTGGAAGGTTGTTAAGGAAACCAAAATCGTCCATGGTCCTTCACGCAAAGAACCCACTATATTTAAGAGTGCAGGCCTTTAGGGCGAGCTGTTTGTCAAAATAAAGCCAAAGCAGTGATTAAAGTGTGTATACGAGCTGCTACACTGCACTTATAGTTTACTGTCCAACAAATATTTAGACAGTTTGTTAATCGTGACTGTTTCTAAAAGTGAAGCATGAAATCTGACTGCATCGTACAGAGTTGTAGATAAAAAAAATCTCAAGAATTCAAGCAGGAGGCAAACAAGACGGGCCAACAACGGCCCTGAATGCAAGTCTTGTTCGTCTTATTATCGGGTTAATTAAAGCCAGGATCTGACAATGTCACTCGGTTGTAGAAAAACGGATTTAAACGCAGCGTCTCCCGGGAGCGCGTGTCAAGGGCTGCGCGTGAGCCCGGGACCGTCGACGAGCAATTATTGAATTTTGATGTTCAAAAGAGAGAGAGAGAGAGGGAGAGACAGAGAGGGGCACATGAATAAATGGACTGATTCATCGTTGTATAGGCTGCATTAAGATAAAATAAGTTTCAAGGCACAAAAGAGAGGAGGCCGTTTTAAAAGATCTCTCTGACTACTGAAGGCACTTTCTGTAGAGGAAAAGAGAGAGAGAGAGAGAGTGAGAGAGTAAAAGGAACTGGGATCGAGAGCCATTTTTAAAGGGTTCATTAAAATGTACACATTGAAATGCAGAGGGGTTGCTATTTGGGCTGGAGGTCAAGAGACGAACGGATTATATACTTCCTCATAATAATATTAATTAAACAATTTGCATGCTAATAAGGTAACAATTATCAGGGCCTCTGTTGAAGGATTCGGGTTATTACAACACGCCAATCCGGGTGCCAAGGGTCAGGGAGTGAGTGGGGAGCGAAATTTCAGCTCAGATTAACATTGTGACAGCTCCAGACATTGGCTAAATAAAGTCGAATTAATTCCCTGTAATGAGAGGGGGAGACGGAATCTGCTTAAAGTGGAGGGACTGATGATCATTCTCTATTCACAAACACGGCTCGCTCGCCTAAACGGAATGGAAACGAGGGTCTGTGATGGGCTTCGTGGAGATCCAACATGAAACAGAAAGTCAGCTATAAAGTTAAAGAGTGACCCAGAATGGGGGAGATGGGCCGTGCTGTGTGGGGAGCGGATGGGGGAACATTCAAAAAAGGAAAAAAGAAGTGTTTTGTGTCGTCGTGGATGTCAGAGAGCAAAATATTATTTTCTGAAAGTAGCTGATGATCCATGGAAAAAGTTGTTGTCGAATGTTTGGCCACTTTTTTCTATCTATCTATCTATCTATCTATATATATATATATATATATATCTATATATATATATATGTATATATATATATATATATATATATATATATATAGAGAGAGAGAGAGAGAGAGAGAGAGAGAGAGAGAGAGAGAAGGAGTGTGTGTAAAAGTGTAAACCTACAAAAATACGAACTTAACTCCAGCAAAATACAACTTTTTCCAATTCTAACCCATAACAGCAGTGTGGGATGGCTTAAAATAATATTATAATATTATAATATTTTTTGTAAGCATTGTGTCATTAATCTAAAACTTATTCTAAAGCACTGGTGGATTTTTGCCTGTAAGTGACCAGTACACAGTCAGTGTAGATGATGCTTTAATAAAACGCTATATGATATCAGTGAAAGAAACTGGCCATGAATTACATTAATTACACATGTAGGCAAAGTCTGGGGAAATACCTCTCATTAGGGCATGTTCAATTTCTCCCTCTTTTTTTCCACTCTCTCTCTTTTAATTAGTGGCTCGTGTAATTAATAGGTTCATTCATGTCTCGTGCAGAATCGAAAGTTCAGCCCCATCCACACGTTTAAGCATTGTGTTAATCCATCTCCGCTCGTGCTCGGCTCTGGTTTGTAGTTGGGAATTAAATTTGACAGCCCTGTGATGAATGTCTTTCCTCGGCCACATGCTCGACTAGTCCGAGCGAAGTATCAGCAGCCTCTGCGAAAACGCTGTCACTTTGTCAACAGCGCGCTTTTGGAGGAGCCTCCACTCTTCTTATCTCTCAGCGTCGCTCTTACGGCGACGTTTATCGCGTTTGTTGCGCGTGTGTTTATGCGCGCACGTCTTTGTCACAGCGAGAGAGAGAGGAGAGAGAGGAGAGAGAGTCCTTATGAACGCGAGCGCTGATGAATCGCAGCCCATAGCTGGGAGATTTCAGCCTCTCTTTAGCGTTTTTAAACGGGGCATCAAACCTGATCGCTCTCCTCCTAAAGACCCCCCGTGTGGTCCTGATGTAGTTCTTATCAAACCCACACACACACACACACATACACCCCCCCTCCTCCACACCCCCCTCCCGTCTTGTTGTGACAGCTCTGATATTGTTTATTGAGGTGGGTGTCAGCTTTAATTAGCAATCGATACGGAAAGCGCTTTTCCACGCCGCGCCTGTGACGTCACCGCCGATTAGCGCCTCTCATTGGTCCCCAATTCCCGGAGCCCGAGCTAATTATTGGAAGGCTCGCGCTGATAAAGTAGACCTCATCCCCAGCCCACAGCCCCCCCCACCACCATCACCATCATCACCACCACCACCAACAACAACCCCACCACCCAACCACCAACACCAAACACTAACACAACCACCACCACCACCACCACCCCTCTCCCCACACCATGTCCCCTCCTCGCCGGCCACGCTCGCCGCGTGCTTTTTAAATTCCCATCACCAGCCTCCACACGTCGTTTCCTCTTTGGCCGGGAGATGATGGACAGCAGGATACTGGACCCACCTCACGCGCAGTTCGGAGGCTCCCTCGGCGGGATGGTGAGCTTCCCCTACCACCTGAGCCACCATCCCGTCTACGAGCTGGCCGGCCATCAGCTGCAGTCGGCGGCCGCCGCCGTCCCTTTCTCCATAGACGGATTACTCAACGGCTCGTGCACGGCGTCCGTAGTCAACACCAACCCGCTGCTGTCCACTGGCTGCGGGATGAATGGAGACAGCCAGCAGTACAAGCTGACAGGTAGGGCTCTGCTACTGGCTACTGGAGCTGTTCTTTTTCTCCGTCTTTCCTCTGCTTGTCTTTTCTGGGCTCTTCACAAAGGCGGTTCGAAGCGACACGTTTTAGCCTGGAGGAAACAAAGAAGCGCTTCCATCTCTCTAATTTGTTCACTGCAATAAAAGAGAAGGCAAACATGGTCGTTTCTGGGATGGAGACACTGGGGAGAGATATTTTCATTTGCAAATTATTTGTTAGCACGAGTTAAATGCAGCAAAAATGGGCTACTGTCGAATTATGGCTTGATAAGACTTAAATTATTATTATTATGGCTTAAAAGTGTTGATAACTAATTGTAATTTATATAGCCCATTTTAATAAATTTTGTTTTTACTTAGAAACCTATTATTGTTATTATTATTATTATTATTATTATTTTTATTATTATTATTATTATTATGGTGATACGATTATTGTATCACCATAATAATAATATTATTGCTATTATTATTGTTACTGGTTACTGTTGAAGGTAGGCTGTTATTACGTCTATCACAAATATATGGATCCAGATTCAATTCAGCGAGGTGTCCACTGTCCTATAGGCCTGTCCCTGTGCTCTGTCCCCTTCTGACCTGTCCTCTGCTCTCCTCAGATTCTGGAGATCCAGAGAAGGACAGTCCAGGCTGTAAGAGAAGAAGAACTCGCACAAATTTCACTGGCTGGCAGTTGGAGGAATTAGAGAAGGCTTTTAATGAGAGTCACTACCCAGATGTGTTCATGAGGGAGGCTCTGGCTCTGAGGCTGGACTTGATAGAATCCAGAGTGCAGGTAAATGTTTCTGTTCACTTGCCGTGTTGTTTGAAATGAAACAGTGTCATTACAGTTTGTTCATTTGCAAATGCAAGCATTGTACTGTATGAGCGTCATTACTGTAAACAAAATCGCTCCTGGTTTTCAGCCAAACGACTGTTTTCATGCTTGGAAAGTGAAATTGCAGTCAAGGGTGAACGATGTAAGAAAATCTACATAGGATTTAACAAGTGAGTCCATCCTTTAGCGCTGCTGTAGGTCTGTCATTTACTAGGCCCAATTGGGCAACAGACAACAATGCCAAAGCCTATCTAAGCTATCACTACACAGACTGGCAACAACAGCGACAACTTAATGGACTGAATACATCCAAGTAACTCTTAAACTCGTTATTGTTCATTTGGCGCTCAGGGACCAAAACATAAGTTTAGATTGCAGTCTTTAGGAATCTGTAATTCTTCAGCTGCTCTGTTTTATTACCTCTTTGTTGTCTGTTTATGGTTGTGGTAGTGACACTGCGTTGGGCCTACGTTAACTTTCAGCCTCATCTTATTGCAAAATGTTTTACACGTTTATTGTTGCAGGAGTTTTAGCAGATCTGTTCTCATATACAACAAAGTACACTCGTGTTTTGTTGTGTTTTGTCAGGCCTGTTAAGGTTTTGGTTGATGTTGGTGAAGTAAGACAGTATTAACATTATAAATGGGACAATAAGAATAAAAATACAAAATATTTTAGCCAAGTCTTCTTAATCTGCTCATTAACGAAGATATAAAGTCTACAAGATGTATTTATTTACAATTTTTGCAAATGATTGATGCACTACAGGTGAAACTTTGAGTTTAAGGGCCCAACACGTAAAAAAAAACAAAAAACTGGCTGCTTAAAAAAAAATCTGAATTTTTATATTTATAATTATAGTGTTTATTTTTATATTTTAAGGGTGCATTGCAGGTTGTGAAGTTATACCGTGATGTATTAACTTATTTGCCTTCTATTATAATTTCTTTTGCTTGTAATAATTTTAAAAATCGAAACTTTATTTATTTTTTACTATTTTATTCATTTATTTTTTCATTATTATTATTATTATTATTATTATTACTATTATTATTGTTGTTGTTATTGTTTAGCTGCTAACTTTAGACTATGCTAACAATTCCAAGCAACCTCAGCAATTAAATTGAAAAATGTATGGTATAATCTGGCCTATATAGACCAGTATTTGTGAGGTTTTTTAAAGCCTGACCACTGAAACCGTGTCCTGTTCTCCTCTCCTGCAGGTTTGGTTCCAGAACCGCAGGGCCAAATGGCGCAAGAAAGAGAACACGAAGAAAGGCCCGGGGCGGCCGGCGCACAACTCCCACCCGACCACGTGCAGCGGCGAGCCCATGGACGCGGAGGAGATCGCGAGGCGCGAGCGCGAGAGGCTGGAGAAGAAGAAGCGCAAGCAGGAGCGGCGGCTGCTCCGCGCGCAGGGCAAGCTGGTGCCGGCTGACCTCTTCCATACGCCCGGCTCGGACAGCGACAGCGGCGTGTCGCAGATTACGGACGGCGAGCAGAGCTCGCTGCCCTGCGAATCGAGCCGCAGCCACGCGCGGCCGGCCTGCGAGCCCGCGGCGCCCAAACTGCAGGACCAAAGAGACGCGGGCGCAGCCGAGCTGGACTCGGCCGACGGCGGCCGCCAGGCCAACCTGGGTCACGGCACCAAGCCGTCGGCTCTGCAGAAACTCAACCCGTTCAGCGTGGAGAGCCTGCTGGCGGACTCGAGGCCCAGGCGGAAGCCCGGCGTGGACTTCCCGGTGTCCCCCGCGCGGCCTCTGATAGGCAAGGGCCACTTTCTGCTCTACCCCATCACGCAGCCGCTCGGCTTCATCGTCCCACAGACTGCGCTCAAAAGCCCGGCGGCGGCGGAGGCCGAGAAAGCTGCAGCCGCCGACTGCGCTGACGGTGCCGGACATCATCACAGGAGCAGCAGAGAGTCCGGCAGCTCAAGCCCGAAGAGCCAGAACGCGGAGGCGGGCAGAACAGCGCGCTCGCCTCAGTGCAGTCCGGCGCGCGCGGTGAATGGCCACTCACCGGGACTGTGCGGCGAGCCGAGCGCGCAGGAGAAAGAGGCCGAGCTGAGCAGCCCCGCGTCTCCACAGCAGCCCGAGAGGAGAGAGCCAGCGGCCTTGCTCGACTACCACAGCGCGCAGACGGCGGCCAGCAGCACGGACCAAGACAAAGACTCGGTCGATGTCGATATGGGATAAAAAAAAAAATACACAAACAAACGAGTAGAAATAATAGAGAAATGGAAGAAAGTGGCAATATTGGCCGACACTCTTTCACTCTTTCACTCTTTCAAAGCTTAACCGAAGAGGAAAAACACGAAGACATATCAATGCGTCTCTGCTTTTTTTGGACACATTATTATTTATATATGGCATATCAAAAGGCCTCCCTGAGTTATTTTATTTTTTTTAGTTGGCTCCTGAAACATATTTTTATATAACGTATCAAAAGGCCTACGTCTTCTGTTATTTTCCTTTCTTTTTGTTCTTTTTTCAAGTGGACATATTTATAGTGTCCACTCTATTTATATGAGACATATCAGTATGTTTATTATTATTTTTTCTTTTTTGTTTGTTTGTTTTCAGGGGACATATTTCCACGACACACCAATAGGCCTGTGTTTTCCTATTTTTCCTTTTTTTTGGCTTAAATTCCGATTAGGGGAAAACTATCTGTGTGAACACTCTGTGTATGTGTGTGGTGGGCTAAATGTCTATTGAAAAAAAGGAAGAAAAAAAAGAAGATGAAGAACACACTAGCAGCAGCTCCCTGTATAACAAACTGTAAAGAGAACAAGACAAAACCTCAAAACGTTGTAAAAAGTATTAAGATATTTATATATGTAAGGTTTTTTTTCATAAATAAATCGATTGTATACAATAACCTCCACGCGTGTACGATTCTAAAAAAAAAGAAAAAAAGAGCCCTTGTTTCCATTGTGGGCGTAGGTAGCCCCCTTTTCTCTTAAAACCCCGTGTTGTATTTGGTGTATTGCTTTAACAAATTTATTCATCTATAAGCCCCGCTGAAATGAGGTTACGAGCCGGAGGCGAAAAGACCCGTTCGACTCCTGCAGAGTTTTGATATGAAAGTAATTATTTTCCCGGTGGCTACTGCAGGGATTCAGTTTATTTTAGCCCGGAGGGTTATAATACATTACCGATTTCTAGTGATAGGAAATCACATAAACTTCCAAGAATAATAGAATTAGCATGAAAGGCTGGGGTGTCAAATTGAAATAGGAAAATAATAGCCCCGGCAGCTGGGAGTGTGTTTGCGCATATTGGAGAGGAGATGGGAATTCGTGGGGCGGAATTTTCATGAGCTTTTCACTTTGTCAGGGCCCTTGTAGCCGGCTATATTAAGATAGATGTTCGATGATATCCCTCATTGTTCTGTCGCTTATATTGATGTTCCTGCGTTATCAGCCTATTGATCACGCGTCGCCCGGAATGGGACGCGCCTATTTACAATAGCAGAGCGCATTTGTTCTAATAGGGGCTGCAGCTCCCGAGGGGCGCTGTGGGGGCTCCCGCACATCTGCGCCTTGGCAATATTAGCCAGGCTGACCAGCTCGACAAAACCGTGCAAGGAGAGGAGAGGAGAAGAGAGGAGAGATCTCCTCCTTCTCCTCTTCTTCATCATCCTTTCTACAAAAATAATAACAGCGCCATTTGTTTGCTTTGAATCGTACAGCGCTGCTAAATATGGCGTCAATAACATGCACTCTCTCCTTGTTTTTTTTCTTTTTCCCTCCTCTTTCGCTCTACAGTCCGATCTTGATTTGCAAATAAATTGGAAATAATCAGAGCCCTTTCCAAATATTTGCATACGTTTCGTCAGGCCACTGAGGTTAGCTTTGGAGCAGGAAGCATATGGAGTCAAAGCCAAGCACAGCCTACAGACAACATTTGGCTTGGATAATAATAAAGAAAAGAAAGAAAGAAAGAAAAAAAAGACCCACACAACATAGGCCTAAATGCCAAGACAGGGAATCAATAACAATAATCATTTAATGTCCCAATGACTACAAGGCTAAAACAATAATGTGAATAATTCATTCATTCTCCCTCCTATGCGCTTCTGATTAAGCAATTACCGAGCAGCCCTCATCTCATCCCCAATCTCAGAGTCGAGCGAGGAATATATTCATTTCAGTCAATGAATTGCCTTTTAGGTTAGGGAGAAGAAAAAAAAACGCAAGTGTTTGGAAAACGTGAGCAGTCTGGAGGTGTCCTTCAATTTACTGCCCAATACCACCACCACCCCTTCTCCCTCTCTCTTTTAGTACTGGTGGGGGGTGTTCATGTTTAATTCATTTTGCAGTCTGAATGGGAGTATCGCTGGCTGCACACTGGTGGCCTTAAGGTGAAATTAGCGATTTGCTTAAGTAGTTAAGCTTTCGCCTGAAAGCAGCCTGCTGTATGATTCAAGACAAACTATCAATCGATAGGGCCCCGCGCAGGCCTCCAGGAGATGTGTCCTCCATGAATCACACTTTATGAATTCAATTTCTACCCGGAGAAATTTTCAATTTGAACGCCGGATCATTATGGGGGAGTGTAAATTGTTTTTGCTCTATTATGCATCGGACGCCATCATTTTTCTTTCTAATTACGGAGGTGTCAGGTCGGGCTGTCATGCAGGCGCTGATTTTCAATTTAACTGATCATCATGCATTCATTTTCCCATTTGATAAATCTGCTATCTCGACGCCGCGCCATGCCTGGAATGTTAAGAGAGAGAGAGAGGGAGAGAGAGGGAGAGAGAGAGAGAGAGCGAACAGCAAAGTAAATGGGGGTGTGTGTGCAGCAATAAGTGCAGATCAGGCAGCTAATTTAGCACCTCCTGATATTCCATCTCCATTTCTCATTTTCAACTCTCAAAGGAGAGTAAAGCAGCCCAAAGGCAGCTAGAGCTGATATTCAACAACACCAGGGTTTTAAAACTACACAGAAAAAAAACCCTGCTTGTTTTCCTCAACACGTTTTCCAAATTAGGACATCAAGCTTAATTAATGCTAATTGAGTTCCTCAATAAGTGTTATTTTTATTTAATAGAATCAAATTCGAGCAATTAATTATGAAGGTGATTTCAAGAGCCTCATTTGCAACACCCAGCCTGGCCCCTCCCCTCTCAGCTCTGTAGATTAATTTCTTTTGTCATTTCATATTTTTCTCCCTGCACCCCCTCAACCCCCCACCCCAAACTCAGGGGGTGATCCCATTCCTTGAGGAGAGTTGCCATTAGGCCTACTCCAATTATGAAGATACACTTTTTATTAGACTGCAAACTGGCACCGATACTGCCGGATTACGTAAATGTTCAGCACTCATTTCCAGATCTTCCCTCTTTATGCGAAATGTGTCATTTCTAGTCCTTTACGTGTTTGTGTGATTAGCACAAGGGCATTTTTAACAGGCTGGTAGACACCCAGATTGTGACTGGAGCACAATTAACACAGCTGGGTTTGGTAACCTAATGCGCTGGTTTTGAAGGCCAGACCAGAACAAACAGACAGAGTCACATGTGAGAAAGGTGGCTGTTAACGAGAGGATGTGTCTGCTGAATAGATCTGGCAAACTCCAATAACAGCGTCGAGTCATTTCGCTAATTCCAACTGCGTTTTTCAGCATTATTTCAAGAGGTATGCTGATGAGACGAGCGAGACAAGATCAGGGATCCCATTAATAAACTATTCGTACACACAGATTTGATCTTATATTGAAAAAAGACGAAATTTGAGATTTTATAAATCATTCTTACTGGGGAATTCCACCTGATTTTCAAAATTTCTGGTTTATTCAGTGGTCGAGATGTAAACAAAGTCGTTCAGAGTGGTTTGATTGAAATGGCTCATTATAGAGAAACTTACAGACTTAGATTTCTTTACAGTGGTGGTGACAGGAACCAGGGGTCCCAATGTCTACAATACAGATGTAGTCATTTTATTTACTATCCAAAACCACTACACACGTATTCTGAGTTTTTATATGTAACGTTGATGGTAAAGTAGAGATACGCCTAAAAAAAAAAGGTTTTCTTTGGGGACTATTTTGCCTTACAACACCCTGTACCTCTCCGCCATGGAAGTGTTTAAGGTAAAACCACGTCTCAGAACCATCACAACAACAATGACTCACTCAGGCATCAGGCAGTGTATTCCTAAATATTTTATGTGATAACTTTCTGTGATGCAGCTAGAAGCATTCAAGGGGAATTCCACCAATTTTTCAAAATTTCTCCATAAATCAGTCCTTGAGGTGTAAACAGTCATTCAGAGTGGTTTGATGTGAAATGGATCATGCATAGAGAAACTTACTGACTCACATTTCTCTACAGTGGTGGTGATGGGAACCAGGGGTCTCAATGTCTTCAACACAAATATAGCCATTGTATTTACTATCCAAAACCACCAGTGAACCTACACGTCTTCTGAGTTTTTGTAATGTTTGTGATGGTAAAATAGTAAATCTGAAAAAAAAAAAGTTTTCTTTGGGGGAATGGATCAAAATAAATGGATTCAAATTCATTTAAGCCAAAACTTTATCACAAAATTATCGGGCATCTTACCATTTCATGTAAATTTCTGTGAGGGAACTTTTTTGAGGCAGACGTCTGGTTCCCATCACCACCACTGTGCTAACATCTCAAGCATTTAAATATGTAGAATTTTTGAAAAAGTCAGTGGAGCTCCCCTTTAAACTCAGTGGACGTCTGGTTCCTATCACCACCACTGTGGAGAGTTCTGACTCGTTAAGTTTCTTTAGAACTGAGTATTTCGCATCAAGCCACTCTGAATGACTTTGTTTATTAATTATGGAGAAATTTTGCAAAAACAACTTTAAGAACAAATGTAGAACAAATTCATGTACTTTTAAAAAGAAATGAGCCCCCAGCGTCTGACCACGGGGACACACGAGAGGAGAGTGAATCTGATTGGCATAGAAGGTGGAGGATAAAGTGATGTTCATAAAATCTTTCGGCACAGTGAACGAGCTCCCGCCTGATTCTTCCCGTGATATAAATGTCAACGACGTTTCCACGTGACTTTCAACGCGATTGCAAGAATCAATTTAGGGATCGGCTGTAAAACAATGGGCATGCCAATTACGATCCAAAGCCGCGTTTGCACGGCGGAGATAAGAGCGCTGAGGTCCGCCGCTGGATGAATGGGCACGCTGTGTAAAATAATCCT